AGGAGCCGCCATTGGAATAACTAGGAGCAGCTGAAGTTGAGAAGAATAGATAGGAGAGAGGTTTTGAAGTAGGCTAAGCCTGGAGTGAAGCAAAGAAAGTGGAAGTCGAGGGAAGCTTGGAGTTGGGGCCTATCCAGGTTCCAAAGCAGGGGAAAAGGCCTTAATCCAGGCCAAAAGCTATCTGATAAAGGAGTGCTAGACCATGCACAAGTATACCCACTTGTGAATCATGGGATTGAGTGCCCTGATTGTCAGTTTCATGTTCTTGTCCTGGTACCACTACAGGCCTCCAGCACAGGAGGAGGACCTTAATGATTGAGGTCACTCTGATGGGTCAATCAGAGCTGAGGGAGCTGAGAATCAAGGTTGCTTGGTTGGAATGGAAGGGGTTAAAAATGGACTTTAGCTATGAAAAAGTACAAGTGGGCAATTAATGCTCTATGATGCCCAGGCATGGTAGCCTGTAATCCCAGGGGCCCGGGAGGCCAAGGCAGGAGGATTGCAAGTTCAAAGCCATGCTCAGCAATTTAGCAAGGTCCTAAGCAACTTATCGAGATCCTGTCTCAAAAAAATAAAAAGCACTGGGGATGTGGCTCAGTGGTAAGTGCCCCTAGGTTTAAAAAAAAAAAAAAAAAGAAAAACTCTATGGTAGCTAAGAATAAGTAGATTTTTCAGAAACATAAGATAAAATTATAGTAGTCAAGGGTTTGGAAGGTTATCTGGTTCATGCCCCATCTAACTCCTTGTAGAAATCTGATGTCAGTGCATCTGAGGAAAGTGTAGAGAAAAGAGAAAAATAGTGAAAAACTAGAGTATTTTACTTGGAGATATTTTACTTGGAGAATAGGAGTGTTTGAAGGCCTTGAAGCCATAATGTGAGCTCCTAGAAGATGGCAGGCTTGGGGCTGGGATTGTAGCTCAGTGGTAGAGTGCTTGCCTAGCATATGTGAGACACTGGGTTCGATCCTCAGCACTACATAAAAATAAAGAAATAAAATAAAGATATTGTGCCCATCTACAACTAAAAAAATATTAAAAAAAAAAAGATGGCAGGCTCAACAGATAATAGTGAGAGTATTTCAGAGTAGACATGAGCAAAGAGATATAAGTACTTGTCCAAGGAAGGGACGGACGGTCTCCCTTTCCCCTCTGTGATGGTTTCATTTTCTTTCAAACAGGGAGCAAGGTATGCTTTTCTTCCTTTGGCCTTAGTTGAGGAACTCTTCTCTTAAGCAGGTAGCTGAATCAAGTGATTTCTTCTGGACTGCAAGAAGTTCCTGGAAAAGAAATGGCAAATGACTTTCTCAAGATCAACAAATCCCGCCACAGGTCTGTATAGGTACCTGAGACTCTGAAAGGAACATGGAAATGGGTACTTTGGCATTTATATTTACTGAGGAATTAAACTCAGGGTCAGATAATTATGTTTTTGTTATTTTCTCTGAGTTCTAGTGAAATAATCTCTCCCCCCGCTTTTTTTTTTTTTTTTTTTTTTGGTAGAAGGGATCAAACCCAAGTGTCCTTTAACACTGAGCTTTTTTTTTTAGTTATCAATAGATCTTTCATTTTATTTATTTATTTATATGCAGCGATGAGGCTTGAACCCAGGGTCTCACATATGCCAGGCAAGCACTGTGCCACTGAGCCATAACTCCAGCTCGTCCCCAGTTCTTTTAGATATTTTTTTTTGAGAAAGGGTCTTGCAAATCGCTGAGGCTGGCCTTAAACTTGCCATCCACCTGCGTCACTGGGCTTCCAGGCCGGTGCCACCACACTCAGCTAAACTTTTCCTTTGGTTGCTGTTTCTTCATCACCGTTTTTATCCTCAGATAGTGTCTGACATCTGGGGTGACACAAGTCCTTTCCACATCATATCCCACCCACTTCCTACTCACATCACCACTTCCTCTACCTGTAATCTCCCTACTCCCTCACTGAGCAAATGCAGTTTGAGGCCTCACAGATCCTTGCCCTAACTCCCTCATCCCTTTCTTGTAATCTTGAGAAAGGCAAACCAACAATCAGGTAGATTGCCCAGAGCCCTGGAGTCTAGACTAATCTCTGCCATCTCCCTTAGGGATACTGGGCAGGATGCTTTTCTCTTCCAGGCCTAGCTTTCCTCCTGTGTAGGGACAGCAGTGAAATTAAATGGTTAAGAGCTCTCTTTCTACCTGAAGATCTTCAACCTTTCTTAAAAGCCCTTGCCCTGGTCCTTGCTTTCATTTCATTTTCTCTCAACCCAGGTCTTTCGGCATCAGTGGGAAACATGAATAGTTTGTGAATTCATTTTGGGTTAGAAACTTATGTATTTTCCTCTGGATCCTGTTTTTTTCCTATGTGTCCTCTAAAATAAACACCCCTGTCTTGACACCTCCTCTTGAAACTTTGACCTTTAATGTAGACCATAATGGTTAGCTTTTTACTTTGAGTACCCCCTGGAGAACCAGGATTCTGCCCTCCCAAGTCAGCAGGAGCCAGGCTATCTGCTTTATCATTCTAACGAAGGCCTTTGCAAATCAAAAGTTGGGTTCTTCATTCTGGTGAAGGGCTGAGAAATAAGACTCTATTACTTGCAGAAGAGGGAGGAAACTGACACCTTTCACTGCATATGAATGGTAGTCCTTCCACAAAACTGTCAGGATGCCAGAGACTCTGGGCTCCTAGAGTGTAAATGGTTGTAAAAGAAAGAATTTGAATTTATGAGGTGACAGATCTGAATTCAAATCCACTGCCTTGTGTTAATTTTACATTGAAGTGCTTTACCCTCTCTGAGACATTTTCCTCAATAACAAGAGGGGAATAATTGTAACTTTTAAACTTTATTTGGTGTGTGTGTGCCAGGCATTGAATTTAGGGTTTCTCATATGCTAATAGGAGATCTCTCATCTATACATCCCAGTCCCTGATACTTATAACTCTTTTTTGTAATTCTTTTATTTTTATTTTTAAAAATTTAATTATTTACTTTTATTCTTTAATTTGTTGATTTTCATAACTCGAACTCATTTTTTCCCATGGCCGCAAATGTGAAACACCTACAAAAACTTAAATATAGTATAAAATATATAATTATATGATAATACAATTATATAATCACATTACATTACATAATAATACTAATACAATAATATATAAACTTTAAATAATTTCCAACCTATTTTAATGCACTTATGTCAATTTTGTTAAAATATTAACAGAATTGAAGATTTGGGATTTAATGGAGTAATTGGATTGTTCTGAGGATTGAAGGAGATAATATGTATCTATTAAGCACCTGGCACTTTGGTCATGCCTGGCACTCAATCACTCCCTTTCCACTGTGGTTCCCCTTCTGCCTTATGATTACCAACTGGCAAGCTGTGAGGAGATCAGTAGCAGACCATAGGAGACTCTGGGACAGTTTTCAAGGTTTTCCTGGGAGTCCCTAATTCTGCCTGCATCAACATTCAGATGGGAAGGAGGAAGAACACAAGTCAAGAAAGAAGAAGCTTGGGGGGCCTGGCAAGCATAAGCATATTTTCTAGTTTAGATTGAGAAACTACAGGAGTCTGTCCATTTTCCAGGTGAAGTGAGGCAGTTCCTGGGTTTACTGAAATATGATAGACTTCTGGACAAGTTTCCCTCATTAAATTGATCCCTTTTGCAAGATCTACCATCAAACTGTGGCAAATCAGCCTGTCTTGGGCCCTGAACCTATTGAAAATAGGGGGTTTTATTGTTCTGTCACCTTAATGATAGCAGCTTGTTAAGGATGAGCCAAAAGGGAAGGGGCGTAGGGTTGTAACTAATGAATCTGAATGATGCTGTATTGCCTTGGAATGAATCCCTGACAGGAACATGATGGATGTAGAGAAATCTAAATTCCTTTAGGTTGTGGCCCAAGATTCAAGTGAGAAGGTTGGTTGGTGTGATTGATTGCTCTGAAGGTAAGATGGATGAGGATGAGAGATGCTTGAAAGAAGAGACTAGGAAACTATAAGCTTTGGGGAGCATCAGGCAAATTTTTCAAGGAATTCCCATTGCTCTGGATTTTCTTTTCTTTTTTAATTGTTTTGTGTTACTAGATTGAACCCAGGGGTGGTGTACCACTGAGCAATATCTCCAGCCCTTTTTATTTTTTATTTTGAGACGAGGTCTTGCTAAGTTGCCCAGGTGGGCTTCAAAGTAATGATCCTCTTGCCTCAGCCACCCAAGTAGCTGGGATTACAGGTGTGCACCATTATGCCTGGCTTCTCTGGGTTTTCTTGGTGAAAATTACTGATATAATTCCACAGTATAAATAAGGTTTGTGTCTCCTACAATGAGCATTTCAACAGGACAGTGGGGGGATGGTTTTGTTTCTGAAAATCTCCCTTAAAATTATTTGACTATGTCAGCAAAGTCCTGGGGAAAATGTCCAAGCACCAGGTGCCTGAGTTCTTTGGATAGAGATTCTGTTAGGAATATGGGAGAAAATCCAGTTTGCTCATTTCTTCTGCACAGTGTCATGACTTAAGTTTCAGGGTAGCTACTTTGGCATCCATGTTTATTGAGGGTTTAACCTCAGGGCCAGATAATTTTATGTTTTTGTTTTTTATTTTTTCTCTAAGCCCCAGGGAAATGATCTTTACTTTTGTCTGCCAATTTCTTCAAAAATATTGCTCTTAGTTTTTCTCCAGTTCCCCCTTCTTCTACCATAGCTCATATACACCTATACACACTTTCTTACTTTGTCATTGCTGCTGAGTTTTTTAACCTTCCTTGGAAGCGGGGACATAGAGGAAGTCTTCCATGTCCTTGACACAGGCTGCAATTTTATGGATTTCTCCTTGTCTCTGGTCTCTGACATCTGTAGTAGTTTTAAATGCACTAGATGCAATAGAGACCAGAATGGAATTTTAGGGCTATGTTTTCTGTTGAGATGCCCATTCGCTGAATGAAAATGTCACTTTCCTTATCACTTAAAAATAAATGAAGACCTTTATTTTGAGGTATTTAAAAAATGAAACTAATTCTTTCTGATGACAAAAATATTTGTTTATTGTAGGCACATGTATAAATTTTTAAAAGCAGAAGAATGAATAAACCACTCAAATTTACTATTACATGATGGCAAATATTTTTATATTTTTAAAAACAAATTGGATTCATCATATACATGCTATTTAGTAATCATCTTTGTTAATATCATGTTACTAAAGATTTTTCAAGAAAATTATTTTAGGGTTAAAATTCCACTATAGGGCCATGATTTAAATGGTTTATCTTACTGTAAAACATTTAAATGATTTTCTAATTTAAAACAAGAAGCTGGGAGTGTTTCTCTACTCTTTTTTTTTACATTTTTTTGTTGGTTGTTCAAAACATTACATAGTTCTTGATGTATCATATTTCACACTTTGATTCAAGTGGGTTATGAACTCCCATTTTTACCCCGTATACAAATTGCAGAATCACATCAGTTACACATCCATTGATTTACATATTGCCATACTGGTGTCTGTTGTATTCTGCTGCCTTTCCTATCCTCTACTATCCCCCCTCCCCTCTACTCTTTTTGATCATCCTTTTACTTGTTTATTCAACCTCCCTGCAGGCTACCAGGCCCTCGCAGACAGGAGTGATTCCCAAGAGATTTCCTAAATTCAGATTTAGGAAACCAGTGGCTGAGCCCCTAGGGCTCTTCATGGGAAACTACCCCTCCTCCAAAAATTACCAGTGGAGAAAGACGTAGAAATGCAAATGAGGAAAGTAGAATCCACAAGTTTCCTAGTCAGTTGCCCTGCCCCCCCCCCTTGGTGCATAGACAACCTAGGAAGCTCAAGTTAAGGGAGCAAACACACTTTGAATACAGTCCAAGTTCAAAGGGCTACTTTAGTGCCCAAATTACTTAGGGGGGTATTAAAATAACACCTTGTAAATCTGTGAGTCTGTATTGTTTTTCTATTGGCCAGTGCCTGGATCTCAATTTTATTATCTGTCAAAATTGGAATCAAGGGAGTTGGATATTTCTAGCTTCCTCCATTAGCCTGCTGAATTGGGAAACAGAAGCAGGGTTCCAATTCCCTTCCTGGTCCCAAGGTTATCAAGGGGAGTAGTAAAAGGTCTCAGTTGGATGTATCCTAGAAACATTTTTTACAAAATGTAGTTGAGTTCCCAATCTGGAACAATGGCAAAATAGATGTTTTATAGCTCTCTGGAGAAAGTCTCTCTTATAGATCTTTGTCTGATAAATGAAAGTCACCTGTCTACTTACTGTGACCATTCCCTCTCCTTGATACCAGAATGGTTTGTGAGCTGAAAAAGCCCTCCTGATTTCCCTAGGCTCGGGTGAGGAGAACTTAAAAAGTGCATACTCAGGTGAAAAAAAATCAACATTCTAAAAACCTTCCAGTAGGAAATAGGCAGCCTCTGCCTCATATATCTGCAGGAATTTGCAGTTGGTCTTTCTCGACCTAGCCACAGTGGCAGAAGGTTGCTCCTTCTGGGATCTGAACTGAACTCTTTTAAGTTTTTGCTTCTATTTTCTCTGATTCCCAGCAGCACAGTTGGGCTGGATATGGCCTAAAACTTGTAGGAATAAATACTTCGAGGGTTCCTCTGGATATGGACTCCCCCAAATTCCCATTTTAGCAAGCTGCATAATAAGTACAGGGACAAATACCAGGAAGTAACTTGCAGGAAAGATTGGGTCTGCCCAAGTTAGGAGGAGGCCCAGGTTTTAATATCAACTCTGTCAATATGCTGTATAATCTTGGGCCTCCATTTCCCCATCTGTAGCAGATATCATGAGGACCACAGATATCCCTGTGATTGTCCAATTGTTTTCCAGTCTACTCTCTCCAAGAGAGAAGAGGTGTCACCCTCCACTGTCATGCAACTGAGCAAATCAGTTCATGTAGGGTGTTATCAGGATCTCCCCTTTCCCCGGGCCCGAGCACTGCCCGGGGAGCGCATGCAGTAGTACTTGTTGACCACATGCCTACACTGGTCACACTTGACGGTGCAGCACCATTGGAATTTGCAGTTACAGCTGCTCACGGCCTCAGTTCTCCTTTCTTCCACTTGCAGCCCACACTCAGTGCACAGGTGCCCACAGCTGCGTTGCTCCCGCTTAGATGTGTTGTGGCTGTTCTGCAGGCATTCACGACCCTCTGTGCCATAGATGCCCAGGCTGGAATTGCGAGTACAGTAGTCTGGAGATTCCTCTAAAAAGATCAGCTCAGCTTCTATGCTAGGAAGGAAGGCCTCAGTGGGAGCCCAGCAACCTTCAGCGCTGTTCCCAGCCCTTAGCTGCCGCTTATCCATCTCAATTTTCAGTGCCTGGTCATACTTGGCCTTTAGGTAGTTTCCCATCTCCCGGAAGTCAGCCAGCTGCAGCCAGCATGTCTGGATGCTGCAGCTCCCTGAGATGCCGTGGCATTTGCAGATCCGTTTCATCGTAGCTCTTACTGCCTTCACAGAGAGAAAACAAAAGAGAGAATGGCTCTGGCAAGGGAAGACCAATGGTTAGCAATTAAATGGAATATTTTAGGGACTGGGATTGTGGATCAGTGGTAGAGTGCTTGCCTGGCATATGTGAGGCTCTGGGTTCAATCCTCAGCACCCATAAAGACAAACAAATAAAACAAAAGGTATTGTGTCCATCTACAAATATATATATATGTGTGTGTGTGTGTGTGTGTGTGTGTGCGCGCGCGCGCTTCTTGGCTTTAGAGGATTATTAGGGAGCATCATAAAAATATTTGTTCTTGGGCCATACCTCAGATTTTTCCAATGAGGATGTTTTCAGATTTAAGGACCTGGTACTTTAAATCATCTTGGGTGATTCTGGTGAAGAGTCAGGCAAATGTTGAGAAGGTTACTGGAGTCAGGAAAAACCCCAGGCCCAACTCCATCATTTGTAGATCATATTTCTCTACCTGCCCAACTGGGATAAAAATGGAATAAAATAGGGTCGGGAGCTAGGTGTGGTGGTACAAGTTGTAATGCCAACAGCGGAGGAGGCTGAGGCAGGAGGATCAGAAGTTCAAGATTAGCCTCAGCAACTTAACAAGGCCCTTAGCCACTTAGCAAGACCCTATCTCAAAACAGAAAATTAAAAGGAGCTGAATAAGATACTTAGTGGTAAATGCCCTGGGCTCAATCTCCAGTACCAAAATAAATAAATGAATAAAAAATAAAATCAGGGTCAAAGAATACTTTATAAATTATAGAGGAAAATATGATCTTTGACACTGTAATCATCTGGAAGTGGGGAACTAGAGTATTTGTGGTGGTTTGGATTTTCCATCCTGACCCTCTCTCAGAAGGAAGGCAGCTCCTAGAATCTGAATCTTTACACACCAAGGCAAGTAATTACCCACAGTTCTACTTGTCTTGAAAACCTTTTCCTTCTGCCCTGAGCAACCAGAACATCTAGGTACAGGTCCACAAGGAAATTTCTATGATTTTGGCTATAAGTCCAAGTTTAGAATATACTAGAGATTGCTACTCTAGAATATTCTAAACTAGATTCAAGTTTAGAATATACTAGAGATTGATACTCTACCAGAAATAGGGACAATAGATGCCCTCCCTCCCCAACTTCTGAAGCCTAGATAGTCCCAATCCTTCACAATCCAGACTTTAGGACACAATAAACTGCTATTAATGTCCTAGAACAAACAGTTAAAGTGATTAAAATTTTAAGTCATCGAAGCAAGGCCTTGATTCTGTATTGTTCTGTGTTCCCAGAAATCTGACTATGGAGAGGGCCTAATACAAGGTTTAGTGATGAGAGAACTAGCCTTATAGATAGATCTGAGTTCATTGCTTGGCTCTTATGCTTATTAACTGTATTGGTGCAGACAAGTCATTCAGTATGGACTTAAAATTGGCTTTGTCATCCAGAGAATGGGATAGCTGTCTCAGTTGTGCTGGATGGTTATGAGGATGAAACAAGGGTATGTCAGTTCTTGGTAAACTGTGAAGTGCTGTGCAGATGTGAAGCTGTTGCCAACATTGGCTGACTCCTATACCCACCAGCCTGCCGGCCCTGTTGTTGTGAAGATTCATCAGGGCTCTGGCATCCTTCCCTTTCTCCAAACTGTCCACAAAGAGTTTGGAGATCCTTTCCCCAAATTCCACATTGTCGCTGCAGCCTCCCCAGATCCAGCCATGGCCTCCTACACATAAGGAAAGAATAAATTCTGCATACAGCTCCCTGCTGTATGCAGGGAGAAGAGTCAGTCTTTTTGACTGACACAGCCAAATCATCCCCACGAACCCTAGGAGAGGGTAGTGCTCAACTAAAGGTGAAAGAGGGAAATGAAGGTGCTTGGGGAAAATGAGGGGAGTCCTGTTCCCAAAGCCAACTTATGGCATTTCCCAGCTCTAAGAAATAAGTCTTCAATGCCCACAATAAACGTAGGTGCATGGGGCCAGTCCAGATGATCTCAAAGGTTAATAGAAGCTCAAACATTCTGGAATTCCATACCATTATTCCATAGTGGTCTTAAGAGTCATTTTTCTCCCTAATAAGTGACAAATTTGGGTAAGTTTCTTATGTGGTCTGAAAACAGTTTTGTAGCTCTGGGTTATGGACAAATCATTCCAATACCAGGGCTACCTTTAAACTCTCTTTGGTCTTCTCATTCCAGTCTTTGTTAGTTTTAGAGATACTTGCCAATCTGTGGACTCATGGACCAAGACTCATCTTTCAGGAGAGTCTAGGTCCAGGAGCTCCCATGACTTGGGGTGGGGGGTGCTGAAGTCTAGGGGTTTGATGACCTGTGTCCCTCAGCCTTTCCCTGGAAGACTTCAGCCTGAGCTCTGCTCTGCAGCTCCTCACCTCTCCTCACCCCTGTTGAAAAACCCAACTTTTACCTGTTTTTCCATTTTTTGACTCATCACAGCCACAGTTTTCAAAGTCACCCATGCTACAGTTCTTGGTGATGGTGTACATGACTCCGGCAGAGCTGATGGCATGAATGAAGGAAGTCTCTCTGGTGGCTTTGGAGAGAAAAAGGGAAATGACTAGAAGCTTGGGCTGATAACCCAAAGCAGAGGCTTTGAAAACACAATGCTCTTTTGCTCTCCCTGCCCCCCGCCTCATTTGGGTTGAGAAGATGCTCTTCTCCTAAGGAAAATGATGCAAGTCTTTCTAACCTCTTCACTTCATCCAGTCATCCCCATGCTACAGATGGGGAAGATGAAACCAAGAGATAGAATGATGAGACCAAGACCACTCTCCAGTTGTGGTGTTGGGATCAGGACACTGCTCTCCTGATGTCCAGCCTAGAGCCAGGTATCATGGCACATGCCTGTAATCCAGACTCAGGAGGCTGAGGCAAGGGGATTGCAAGTCCAAAGCCATCCTCAGCAACTTAGTGAGACCCTAAGCAACTTAGCAAGACCCTGTATCTAAGTAAAAAATAAAAAAGGCTGGGTATATTGTTCAGTGGTTGAGCACCCCTGGATTCAATCCCCGGTACCAGAAAGAAAAGAAAAACTGAAGTCCAGTCTGGACCTCTGTCTTCTAGCCACAGTTGCTGATCTGTGGGCAGTGAGGCTCATGTCCACAAGGCTAGCTTAGGAAAGAGAGAAGGTCTGGGTATAGTGGAGCATGGCTTTCAGACCAGAGACTTGGGAAGCTGAGTTAGGAGGATTGCAAGTTTGAGGTCAGCCTCAGCAACTTAGCTAGACCCTAAGCAACTTAACAAGACTCTGTCTCAGAATAAAAAAATAAAAAGGGTTGGAGATATAGTTCAGTGGTAAAGTGCCCCTGGGTTCAATCCCCACCAAAACAAACAAACAAACAACAACAACAAAAACAAGAGAGAGAGACAGAGACAGAGACAGAGAGGACCTATTCTTTCTGACCTCAAAGCTATGTTCCTATAATAATCATAATCATTGTGGCTGCTATTACTGAGCTCTTATCTTGCTAAACTCTTCACAAACACCATCACATTTCGTTTCCACTTATCTATATTCTATCTGTTTACCCCTTGAGAAGTTAGTTCTTCCACTCCCATTTTCTTTATTACCTTTCCCCTCAACCCTTCTCAGGCAACTCTATTGTTTCTACAAAAATTACTTTTATGAAAACTATTGCACACAGTTATAAACACACACACACACACACACACGTACATGCAGCCCACCTGAGGCAAAACTCAATGTGATCTCTCAGCTTCACTGTTGCTAGGATTTTAAGAGAATTAGGCAGATGTAAAACTCCCCCAGGGGCTGCAAATAAAGACCCCTTTCCCCATTTTTATTTCATGTAAATTGGTGAATTATGTACAAACACACAAATACAGGTATGCACTAAAAACATAATTTCTTACGTATGCTGTGAGACACCTCTGCCTACCTCATTCAACCCTTAGATTGGCTAAATAGAGCCGGTCTTACAGACTCAAATGACAAAACTGGGATTGAGAGAGGGAAAGCAACTCACTCAAGGTCACAGCAAGGAAATGGCAGGTCAACAGATCACCAGTCACTTTCTCATTTCTCTGAGCACACACATTACATAATGCTGCAAGCCCACCTCCATGCACAGGCACCCTCTGAACAGGTGTGCTCTTATACAGACTTACCACTTCTTAGCCTGTTGTGTGTGGAGAGCTGCAGAGCATTTTCAGGGCAGTTCCAGCGTTCCCAAGCAAACTGGAACTTACACTCCTCGATGCCACTCTGGGCACCCAAGGCCACACTGGTAGTATAGGTCAGATAGGCCTGGGCAGGGGAAAAGGGCTGTGAGCTTCTGCCCAGCACAGGTCATCTGGGGTTGGGGGAGCAGGGATGACTCCAATGGGCGAGTTCTCCACTAAGAAAACAATTCTGGGTCTCTGGGTGAAGGGGTCTGGCAGTGTCTCTCCCAACCCTCTTTTTTTCCCCCAGAAGATTTCCCTTAGGAACCCCAAGGGCAAAAAAAAAAAAAAAAAAACAGGAGTCAGAGACCATCCTACCTTGGGGCCTGTTATCAGGAAATTATTCACTGACCTATCAAAAAAGAAAAAGTGAGGCAGAGGTGAATGGGATGAGATAACGGGGGACTTTCTTGGAGGGGAGCAAAGAGTAAGGGAAGGGACTTACCAGGCAGAGGCACCAAAGGTAGCACAGCATATTTCCATGGTTACCCACAGCATGAACAGGTCCCTCATGGCCCTGCCTACCCTCAGGGAACCGGGTCCAGCTCAGGGCCAAGTGCAGAGAAGTGAGGAGTGAGCAGAGTCTTACTCAGTATTTATGTGGGCAAATTCTGAATGGCCAAGGGGGAAAAAATCAACAGCCCTTCTCATTTGTTCCTCACTGGCAGGGCTGCAGGAGTCACTGACCCAATAGGGGATTAGGGAGGAGGGACTCAATCCAAAACCTTCCATGAAGTCCCGCCCCTGCCCAGCCCTTCTTCCCTCCCTGACAGGCAGAAGGCTGAAGCTGTTCTCCCACCCTTGAGGTTCATTTCCTCTGTAAGTCAGTTGGTCTCTTCCTGATTAGGGACCATTTCTCAGAGTCTTGTAGACTGGAACAACCTAGGCAAGTCACCTATCCCTTGGAGCTACCGTGCCTTCATCTGTCAGGGAGACATCACTCTGTGCCCTGCTTTCCTCCCCAAGGTGTTAATAATCATAGAAGAACTCTCTTTTGGGGGGCTCCTCCTATTCATTTACCCAAACAATTGAGTGCAGTCAATCCTACCTCTTCCCCTGATGACTATGAGGTGATGAAATTGTGGGACCATGGAGCAGAAATATTTCAGAGCCTGTCTTGGCAATAGTTCCTTTTACTACATTCTACTAAAGTAAGTTCTGATAAATTTCCTTAATTCTAGAAGGTCTATCCTTTTGTATCTTAGGGTTAGGTCTCTAGTTTATTAATTGTGTATATATGTGAGAATCAACCTTTGGGCTACCCAGGGCTATATTTGAAAAGACAGATGACTTTCTTTGTGATACTGATACCACTTTCTTTTTGCAGGGAGAGGGGGAAATGGGCCAGGTTTTCTGGGGATGGGACCAGGACCTATGCATGCTTTACCACTGAGCTACACCTGTAGCCCCTTCTTTGTTGCTAGGTTTCAGCTACTTAAGCAGGAATCTGTCCTTTAGATTGACTTTGTGTTCTCAGAACATGCCTCTATGAAGGAAGGAAGGAAGGAATGGAAGAACTCGTGGCCTGTAACAGAGACATGGGGCACCACTAGGCAGGATTGGGGACTATGTGAAGGGCTAGAGGTCATTCTTAGTTGGTGAGGCTCTCTCTCAGGATTGGGGAAGGAAGCTAGAGTACTTCAGAGGAAAACACAGAACAGGAAGTCACGTTCTGACTCATGGTCCTGTGACTATCATAGTATCCAGATTACTTCCCAGCACCCTAGAACTGGTACAACAATCCCCCCACCAAAGGAGTTCCAGGGGCCATGGAGTCCCCAGGGCTTTTTAGGGCAGTTCACTTAAAGTATGGGCCAGAAATGGTGTCAGTCTGCAAACTGATTGTTGTCTTTCTGTGACAAGATAAGCACTGAAATAGAATTGAGCATAAAATTTATAGTAATTTGATGGAATAGTTTTAAATATGTTGGACCTAATAATAAGATATTTGCATTCGGGCTGGGGATGTGGCTCAAGCGGTAGCGCGCTCGCCTGGCATGCGTGCAGCCCGGGTTCGATCCTCAGCACCACATACAAACAAAGATGTGTGTCCGCCGATAACTAAAAAATAAATATTAAAAAATTCTCTCTCTCTCTCTCTCTCTCACTCTCTCTTTAAAAAAAAAAATATATATATATATATATATATATATATATTTGCATTCCAACCTGTGTGTGGCATCACATACCTATAATCTCAGTGACTCAGAAGACTGAGGCAGGAGGATTACAAATTGGAGGCCAGCCTAGGCAATTTAGTGAGATCCTGTCTCAAAAAATAAAAAGTTCTGGGGATGTAGCTCAGTGAATGTAGCTCACTCTGGGTTCAATCCCTAGTACAGGGATGGGGGCAAGGGTAGAGGAGAGAAATTTGGGCTACCTATGTGTTTTTTTTTAAGTATTTTTAAATTTTGGTACTAGGGATTGAACCCAGGGGTGCTTTACCTCTGAGTCATATCCCCAGCACTTTTTAATAACATTTATTTATTTATTTATTTATTTATTTTTATGTGGTACTAAGGATCAAATCTAGGACCTCTCATGTGCTAGGCAAGCTCTCTACCGCTGAGCTACAGCCCCAACCCTCCATCACTTTTTATTTTTTATTTTGATACAAGGTCTCACTAAGTTGCTTATAGTCTTGCTTGGTTGCTGAGACTGGCCTTATACTTGAAATCCTCCTGCCTTACCCTCCCAGGTTGCTGGGATTACAGGTGTGCCATTATGTCTGGCTAGGCTCCCTATGATGTATGCTTTTATTCTGTTTCATTTTTCTTGAAGAATGAATGTGAAAAGTCCTCACTGGACTCTGTCTCTCAGACCCTGCAAGTTCTTGGCCTCTACTTGCTTGTCAACTTCTCTGCTTGGTAAAAAGAGACATCCCACACTTGAGTCACTTGGGAAAAGCCCACTGAGACACTGTTTTACCCAGTCAAGAATCTAATGTTGGGCTGAGTTTATGGCTCGGTGATGGAATACTTAGCATGTATGAGGCCTTTGGTTTGACCCCCAGCACTGTGGAACAGTGGGATGTGGGGCAGGAGGGTAGCAGGGGAACAATCTCATGTATAACTTTCACTTCTTAAAACAGTAGGGTTGGTTTCTATGCCACTCAGTGGGGTCAGAACAGGCTTAGCCCTAATATGATCCCCTCTTTCCCCTCTTGACAGAGTTTTAGGTATGACTGTGCATTCACTGCCTATGTATGAGTAATTGGGTCTTGTTCTTCTGTGTCCCCTGTAACACCTGGCATAGAGAAATATTCTTCCATTTTCTAGGTAGCAGAGAGGAAGGAAGTGGGGGTTTTGTGTTTGTGCAAACTTTGTACTTTCTCCTGCTCAGATTCTCTAGAGATCATATAGTTTCTTAAGTGAAATTGAGGATGTCAAGGAAAGGCCTCTACTCCAGATAAGAGCCTTAGCCTTTTGTTCAATAATCTGGTGTGTGACCTTAAGCAAGCTACTGACCACCATGTAGACTCAGTTTCTTCATCTGTAAAATGAGGGAGTAGAGGAAATGGTGAACACTGAATGATCCCTAAAGCCTTCCCTAGCTCTCTTACATGTTATAATCCTAATTTTAAGATTTACAGAATTTATAATCTCAGAGGTGATTGTAGACTGGAAATGAAGAAATCATCCTTTTAAGCTGTGAGCATAGGAATCTAATTCATCTTTGAATTCTGCAGTTGGCTACCTTTAAAATGGGTACCTGAAGGATAATTAATACCTTCTTTAGAGTCCTCTCATTTGTGTGTGTATGTGTGTGTGTGTGTGTGTGTGTGGTGTTGGGGATTGAACTCAGAGCCTTAATGCATGTTAGGCAAGTGCTCTACCACTGAGCTATACTCCCAACCCTTCTTCATTAACTTTTTTTTTTTTTTAAAGAGAGGGGGAGAGAGAGAGAGAGAATTTTTAATATTTATTTTTTAGTTTTTGGCGGACACAACATCTTTTGTTTTGTATGTGGTGCTGAGGATCGAACCCGGGCCGCCCACATGCCAGGCAAGCACGCTACCGCTTGAGCCACATCCCCAGCCCCTCTTCATTAACTTTTATTTAAATTAAATATATATTTTTCAGTTGTAGGTAGACACAATATCTTTATTTTATTTTTTATGTGGTGCTGAGGATTGAACCCAGTGCCTCATGCATGCTAGGCAAGCGCTCTGCTGCTTGAGCCACAACCCCAACCCTTCATTAGCTATTTTTTTGGTACTGGGGATTGAACTCAGGGGCATTCGACCACTGAGCCACATCCCCAGCCCTATTTTGTATTTTATTTAGAGACAGGGACTCACTGAGTTGCTTAGAGGCTTGTTTTTGCTGAGGCTGGCTTTGAACTCTTGATTCTCCTGCCTCAGCCTCCCGAACTGCTGGGATTACAGGCCTGTGCCATCAGCCTGGCTTCATTAGCTTTTAAGCCATGAACAAACTTGGTGTCTCTGTTCTACAAATGGAAATCTGAAGCTGAAAACCAGAGTAGAAGATGACTTTGTAGATAGAACAGGCCAAATAGAGTTTCTGAAGTAGTGGTATGCTAGGAAATGTTTAACTACCAGCTTTGGTGTGGTAGGGACCAGACTAGTTGCATTTTCTTATCGTCATGGTGCACATACTTCCCCTATGGCCGATTTCAAACTACCAATGTGGACTTGGGTCAAGATGCACAGTAGCATATCATATAATATTTCTCTCATGTAGCTATAAATAATCACAATTGTTTGAGTAATAGAAAAAGGTAGCAAAATAATTAAGAAATAATGAATTTTGAGTATTATCTTTGTTTTTATAATAATTCACTTAATTGTAAGTTTGTATAATTTGAATTTTAATAAAGTATGAATTTAATAACCAGTTTGGAAAAATTCTTGAAAATATAACACTTAGCTCTCAGGAGCCGATACAAACAGCCTCTCACACGCACACCACTAGATCCCAGTGTCTTTCCTCTAGGCCAGCACCCATGAAGTGCAGATTTCCCTGTGGAATTTAACACCAAACAATTGTTTGTTCCAGCTGTTCCAGAAAGACCCAGTTCCATGGATCTTTCTGTCTGCCTTCAAGAAGTTTCATGTCTAGTAAACAGGAGATGAGGTGTGTGTCCATAATGTAGGTCAACAAGCATTAAGTGGAATAAAATGCATAAGCGCATGCATGTCTCTCACGGATCTAGAAAGGGGGCATGCCCAGGTAAGACTGAAGGCCCTCTTATTCTCTAATGTTCCAGGAAAATGAGATTCCAGGAGTCCTAGGGAAGCACTGGGGTTGTAATCAGTGAAGAATAAAGTCACCTTTGCTGTGCCCAGCTTCAGGAAACAGAGGCCATTCATGGAACCATGGTGTCTCTGAGCCAGAGAGTCCCATTTTACAAGGAGGAAACTGGGGTGGGGGAGTGATCAGGGTCACACAGTGAGTTTCAGCCAAGACAGCCTGGATCCCACCATTCCGGTTTGCCTGGGATTGAGAGGTTTCCTATGACATGTGGGATCTTGGGTGCTGATATCAGGAAAGTCTTGAGCAAACTGGGATGGTTGGTGACCCTACAACAACAGTGTGCAATCCCAGGCCAACGCTTCTTTCCAAATGTGCACTCTCACAAAATTTCCCAAATCTTTGGTTCTGCCACATTTCTTTT